TCCCCACCCCAAACCAACAGAGAATGGAGTTTGCAGGATGTGGCCACTCTAAACATCCGTTCATTCCAAAGGAAATTGAGACATTCAGCACACAAGAACAACCTGGGATGGCCAAGGAGCCACATTCAGGATCATCAAACCATTCGCGTGCAATTAACTGCAAAAAAGATGGAAATCAAGAGGTGGAGGAAATTATCTCTCTCTTGTTTTTAAGACTGTGAGAAAAAGCAAGTTGGCGACAGAGCCCTGGCTGGAACTGCACCACAAACTCCCAATTACTCAGAAAAACTCGCTTGTGGGGCGTTATCTGGATTTTTGTTGTTGTTGTTGTTTTGTTTCCTTCTCTCTCCAATCTCTGGGGAGATTTCCAGAGAGAAGTCATTCAAAAATCCGAACAGTGCCAAAGAGCCCGGCTGAGTTTGTCAAGTTGGCGCTCGGCTCACCGAAAAATGAGAAGTAAAAAATGATGATCGAAACGGCCTCTCAAAGAGATAACTGCATTGGAAAAAAAAAAAAAAAAGCAATTGTACAGCTATTTCTGGTTTCTATTTCTCAGCAGTTTTTAAAATTGGTTCTGGGAAGGAGTGGGGGGGGAAACCAGGAATGGTGGTGGCGTTTAATAAAATCCTGGAAATGGTTGGAATAGAGCTGGAAGGGACCTTGGAGGTCTTCTAGTCCAGCCCCCTGCTCAAGCAGGAGAACCTATACCATCTCAGACAAATGGCTGTCCATCAAGCTGAATCAAGCTGCCTTTTCCAATCGACTGATGGGGAGCTTGTCCATGCCAATGGTGCTCAATTGATGCTCCAGATGTTTTGGGATTGCACCCAAGGCGCCTAACACTATTGGCGCTGCCTCGGCTTTCTTTTGCCACAGTCATTCTACTTCTATTTGCATTTCTTTTTATTTTGTGATTTTTTCCCTCCCAGTTCTTTTTCCTTCTGTTCCGCTCTCGCTCTCTCCACCATCCAGACTTTTTTTGTGTGTCTTTCTTATCCACAGTCGTTAAATCTTCGGTGTTATGTGTCTATCTGAATTCTAAAGTCCCCAAGCACTTGAGCTTCTTCATTTTGTTCTTCTTCGCTTATCTATATTGCAAAGGCTCTAATTTGCATTGTGCATTATTTATACGGTTCGGCACCCAGTCAGCCAAATGTTTAGACTGAATTTGGCATTTTTGCCCGCCTATCGCCTTCTTCCCAAGGACCTGGGATAAGCAGATGTGGACGTTGGATGGGGTTACCGATATTAATGCAGGATGTAAGCTGTTCCAAGTGAAGCTGCCTTTTGCAATTGACTGAGGTATTCTTATGCTTCATTGCCCAGTCAGTCGGAGGTTTGGATTGGATTTGACCTTTTTTATCCACCTGTCGAGTTTCGTTATTGCTATTTTGTTTTATTTTACGACAAGGGCTGCAATTTGCAAGATAAAGCAAACAGATTTGTGTTCAAAATGGGGAACATTATTTACCCCAACTGCCTAATTGCAAAAAAGCCAGAAAGATAATTTGCCAGTCCATCAAAGAGATCTGCAGCTTTCGGCATTTTTCATAACCGTCCCCTGAATATTACTGAACTAAACAGGACGCTGTCAGATTAGGTTGTAAAATGGGGGAGGGGGGGAAACAATTCAGCAACGGGTTTTCCCCATCCTTCTCCATCTTTCGTGCTGGGTACCACACACGGTTGCCATGGAGACGGCCCCATGCAACGTTGCCATGCTTACAAAGCATACGATGGGGCCGGGGACGACCCTCGTGCGCGTGCAAGGGGGGAAAATTGCTCGGAAGTAGTACGCAGTGCAAACTCAGAGCGTTTGTATCCTTTAACGGCATCAAATCAGCCTCCGAAATTTGGTTTATACCTCTAAGCCATCATGACTTCTGGCCTGTGGGGGGGTTCTCTGTGCAACATGTCAGAGACTGGGAAAACCCAAAATGTACGCAGGGTTATTCAAAACAGCTCAAAATTCAAGATGACGGGCGAGAAGTCAAGTGTTTCCCCAGGCTTTTGGTAGCCTGAAAAAACTAGAATTGGATCCTTCACACATTCAGCTCATTAACCTGGTTACCGATCTACTACGTTGTTTCTCTAGGTTTACAGAAGGCATTGACCTGGAATCTAACAACAGCTTTGTGCCTGAATTTCACCAAGGGGAACATTGATCAAGCTTGGCACGGCGTGAATTGAGCCTTCAATTGACCTGGTTAACACGCCATGAAAGCAAGCTCTCTCTCTCTCCCTCTCTCTCTCACACACACACACACAAACAGAGAGAGAGAGGGAGGGAGGGGAGGAAGAGAAAGAGAGAGAGAGAGAGAGAGAGAGAGAGAGAGAGAGAGAGAGAGAGAGAGAGACCCCATCCATTGATGGGAAGGGGAACTGTGATGCTTGGCCTGAAGCTATCCCTCCTACCCAACTGATTAAATTTAAAGGTTTTTGATTTCTCTGCTTGAGATAAATAAGAGTTTTCACCTTTTATTATTATTATTTTTTTTTTGCAAGAGAAGATGTTCAATGGAAGGCGTTGTCAGTCAGGGATTAGCTATAAACATCAAACAAATGAAACCTACTATCCATGCTTCTGTTTCCCCCCCCCATCAAACGATCTTCCTTTCCACTGCCAACTTTTTAAAAAATATAGCTGCAACAGTCCAGTCCTAAGTCACTTTTTTTTCAGCATCGTCGTTACTTTGAGCGGTCACTAAACAAAAGGTCGTATGTTGAGGCTCCCATACTCTCTGCGCTTTTTTTCATCAAGGTATCCTCTTCCCTACTGCCAAACTTTATAAAGCTATAGCTCCCAACAGTCCTAAGTATGAGAACTGATGATAAGTCAGGTTTTTTTTCAGAATCGTCGTAACTCTGAACAGTCGCTAAACGGACGGGCGTAAGTGGAGAACTAGCTGTCAACCCCAGAGAAATGAAACAAACCATCCCTGCTTCTCTTTTTCCCATCAAACAGTCTTCTTACCTGCTGCCAAACGTTAAAATTGTCGCCTTCACAGGACGGAGACTGTGGCATCAAAGCCACGTTTAGCAACCCCATTGGCAATTTGAATGTTCAAACCTGAATTAAAAAACCGAACTGCCAATCTGATTTTTTTTTTAATTAACGAGCAGAAAGTGGAGCTTGGGGAACCTAATTTTTTTATTTGCCTCTTGCTTAATCCCCATCGCTGATGTCACTCTCTTTCTTTCCCAGTTGATTAGGTTATTCAAAGAAATAACCGTTCTAACTCCCCAGAGTTGCAAGCTAATAGCTTCTGGGTGTTTTCTGAAATCATGCAAAAGGATAGGATAGTTTCAGTGGACTCCCCGTGCATAATTTCTTTCAGGGGAAAAGGGTTTTCAGCAAGGACTCTTGCTGGCAGAATAACAGGACAGAATAACAGAACAACAGAGTTGGAAGGGACTTTGGAGGTCTTCTAGTCCAGCCCCCTGCCAATCCTTTCTCCATTATTCCACACTCTCTTTGGCTGTCCATCCAAACGGAGAGCTCAGGAAGAATCTCTTTCTGATGGGGGAGAGCAAGCAGGGGGAGGGTGCAGAGGGACAGCGAGAGAGAAAACGGGCCCACCACCCTTTGAACCGGGCCAAGCCAAGTCCCAGCAAGTACATTCTCGAATTTGAGACCTTAGCCTTGGACGAGTGCAGTCCCCCAACTGGCCCTTTCAGGATCCAGGGGAGCTGTGTTGTGTAAACAGAGTTGGGTGGTACACATCGTCTTTCAAATCTTACCTTTCCCCCCCCCCAAAAAAAAACTATTGTGCTGAGAGCCACACTTAATCCTTGTTTGTAGACCCAAGGTTGGATGATGCGAGAATTGAAGGGTGCCTTGGTGCTCTCTGAGTTGAGTTGTTTTCTTGAAGACATTTCATTACCCAAAGCAGATAACATGTGTTGATGAAGGTGCCTAGTTTGGGCCATGAAACGTCGTGGGCAAGAAAGCAACAGAGCTCAGAGAGTAGCAAGGACCCCCCCTTCCCCTTCTTCCTCCTCCTTATTGGGTCATGAAACATCTGCAAGAAAGCTCAGAGAGCACCAAGGACTCCCCCTTCTCCTTCCTCCTCCTCCTCCTCCTCATTCATGAAACATCTGCTAGAAAGCAACCAAGCTCAGAGAGCATCAAGGACCCCACAATCTTCCTCCTCCTCCTCCAACCCCACAACCTTCCATCACTGATGATGTGACCTAGTTGGGTCATGAAAAGTCTGCAAGAAAGCTCAGAGAGCACCAAGGACTCCCCCTTCTCCTTCCTCCTCCTCCTCTTCCTCCTTCTCCTCCTCCTCATTCATGAAACATCTGCTAGAAAGCAACCAAGCTCAGACCTTCTCCTCCTCCTCCACAACCTCCCATCACTGATGATGCGACCTAGTTGGGTCATGAAACGTCTGCAAGGAAGCTCAGAGAGCATCAACGACCCCACAATCTTCCTCCTGGTTGGGTCATGAAACGTCCGGCAAGAAAACCACCCAGCTCAGAGAGCCACAAGGACCCCCCCCCCTCATCTCAGCCCTGAGCTGCTACAAACATTCTCCTTTATTAATGCAAGAATTGCAACGCACCTTTCCAGAAGACCAGGGCTTGAAACGAGTTGAGCAGAACCGACCAACCTGACTTTGTGGCCGCTCCAAATTCTCCTTAGAGACATCAAGGGACAGAGACTTGCTGGCCCCTCGCCGGCCGGGAGCTTGAGGGGGCTTCTTTCGAGCCTGTCCGCTGCGTTCTCCCTGGCCCCCGTTAAGAATATTTGCCATCTTTCCCAAAACTCCCAGATGTTCCTCATGGCTGCTCTGCGGCCCAAATTTTGAGCGACATCGCCTCTCTGTGCGCTGCGCTCCCTTCCCACCTGCCTGGCCTCACCTGGAGGAAATACGAGAAGACACGCCGCCCTGCCTTTCCTGTGACCTGAAGCGGGAATAAGCTGTAACTGGGAGGAGCTGGGAAAACTTGCCAACCAGGACTGTTGACCTGGTTGTGTTGAAACCTGCCGCAAACATCCCGCGTTGATGCCACGCGGGTTAGCCGAAGGTAAGAAAGAACGTCAGATTGAATCACAGCTTGATGAGGGTCAAACAGCAGCGTAAGAAGAAGGGCAAAATGCGAACCACCGTTTCAAAACCTGATAATTCGTTTGGGAAACAGGCAGGCCACCCCTTCGGGCAAGACAAGACAAGCCCTAACAGGTACATTCACACAATCTTTTGGTGCTTGGTCCTTCCTTCCTTCCTTCCTTCCTTCCTTCCTTCCTTCCTTCCTTCCTTCCTTCCTTCCTTCCTTCCTTCCTTCTTTCCCCTTTTATCTTCCTTCTTTCCTTACCTCATTTTATCTTCTTTCTCTCCTTCCCCTTTTACCTTCCTTCCTTCCTTCCTTCCTTCCTCCCCTCTTTCCGCACATCACAATTATGATAGATCTTATCTTTATCTTTACCTATCTTTTTTTTTAAAAGCCTGCATAGAGAAAACTAGTCATCAGGAAAATGGGCCCATTCCCCCTGACAACTTTTATTTTCTACACGCGAGGATTGTTTCCTTTGTCAAGGGCTTAGCCAATTCCAGTCTGCAGCCTGAAATAATTCTGTATCTCCACTGAGTCTGCTCTGCCTAAAATTACAGGGAGAAAAACGTAAGTGCTCGTGTGCCAATGCAAGCAATGGTTTCTAGTCCCTGGTAAACACATTGCCAGGAGCTGCCTCAGTGCCAGTCCACTTGCTTTTCTCACTTTGTAATTCTATATCTAGATCAACTCCTCCTGTTCATCTCCCTCTGGGGAGAAATCAAAACGAAGCCTCGGAGTTTGGCCAGGGAGTCACCTCGCAGCTCTTGACGTCAACTCTGCAGCCTGAAAAATATTTTCTTTGACCCAGGGCCAAACCCAGGCTCAGAACTGGAAAAGAAAGCGAGGCAATAAATCCTCGGTTGAGGAGTAAAATCAGCGGGATCCTGGCACTTTGTAGGTGGGCAAAAACAGAGCTATTTAAAAGAAAAAACAATAAATGTGTGCTCAGGGTTTGGGATAGCTGCATATGACCTTCCTTCAAATGAGCTTATCATTTGGAGAAACCTGATTCTTTCTTTCTTTCTTTCTTTCTTTCTTTCTTTCTTTCTTTCTTTCTTTCCTTCCTTCCTTCCTTCCTTCCTTCCTTCCTTCCTTCCTTCCTTCCTTCCCAGCCAGATGTTTAGACTGGATTTGGCATTTAAGTCCACTTTCGGATGCCTCTGACTACTGATACAGGTAGTTCTCGATTTACGACAGTTCTTTTAGTGACCATTCAAAGTTACAGCCGCACTGAAAAAAGTGACGTATGACCTATTTTTCACACTTACGACGGTTGCAGCGCCCCCATGAACATGCGATCAAAATTCAGACGCTTGGCAGCTGTTTCATACTTATGACGGTCCCAGTGTCCCAGTGAGGACAATTAACCAGTGGAACAGAAGTTGCCTCCAGAAATCGCGGGCGCTCCATCACTGGAGGCTTTTAAGAAAAGGCTGGACAGTCACTTGTCTGAGATGGTATAGGTTCTCCTGCTTGAGCGGGGGGCTGGACTAGAAGACCTCCAAGGTCCCTTCCAGCTCTATTCTATTCTAAAAGGCTCCTGTGATCGCCTTTTGGCAAGCAAAGCCAAAGTCATACGTAGAGGACCACCTTAACAGATCATTCTTTCAACATGTATATATTTCCAACACGTTACCTACATTTGCTCTTTTGCAAAAACAGCCACGCCGGGCTCATCCGGGGCTGTTTTTCCGTTTGCACTGCGAAGCTATGATTTTAAATTTTCATTATTATTATCCTTCTGCCCCCCCCCTTCCTCTCTTGGATGTTCACATGCTTTAGGTGGGCAGAAGATGGCAGCAGATAACCATCCTTGGCTTATCTCAGAAAAACGAAACAGGATTGGCCTCTCTCAGCCAAGAGATCACAAACTCAATCTTCTGAAGACGAAACCAGCCCGAGCTCCAGGAAACTCCATCAGGGAAACTCCAGGAAAGTCCCCCCAACTTTGAGAGTAGACTGGAAAGTTGAAAACAAAAAGAGGAAGCTGGCAGAGTCTTTTTATAATGCCCTTTTCTTTCAACTCCGAGGGAAACTTTAGTCTGCATCCCAAGGGCACCGTTGCGACGGCTTGATTTTAATTCTGCGGCAAGAAAGGTCTCGCATTTTGGGGCTCAGTTGGGGGGGCTCGTAAGCCGAGGATGACCTGTGAGTCAGCCAATCCCAGCCGGCTCAGATCCACTGCCGTTGGGTGATGCTGCTCTGTGTCGATCAAGCTTGCCACAAATAAAATAAAATAAAATAAATATACATCCCAGTTTCGGGGTTGAGCTGGGAGCAGAAAGGCATGATGTGAAATGCAGAGAGTTTCAGCTACTACGAAGGAGCCAGAAGTACAAAATGGTGATGATTCACGAGCCTCTTGTCTCCCCAAGTATTTAGTCATTATAAAATGTCAGAACAAATTGTTCTTTTTTAGGAGGTATTTTGCATCTACGCCACGCGGCCCGGGCGCCACCTCCTGGCCGGATCAGGAAGAACGGGGCAAAAAGGGGGGGTCCGGTTTGTTGAAAATATTACAGGTAGTTCCTCTCGACTTACTATCACTTGTTTAGTGACCATTTGAAGTTAAAATATAGATACTAGATACTAGTGACTCACCACCAGCCTTTACACATAAGCACCCGCACCCGCCACTTCTCTCACCCTTTCAGACACCAAAGGAGCCGGGTCAAAGAAAGACCTTTCAAAAGTCTAGTCAAAGGAGGAGAAGGTCTAATGAAAAGGGCTAGGGGTGACATGACAGCAGTCTTCAAATATTTGAGGGGTATCACAGAGAAGAGGGGGATCCAGCTGTTCTCCAAAGCATCAGAAGGCAGGACAAGAAGCAACGGATGGAAATTAATCAAGGAAAGAAGCAACCTAGAACTAAGGAGAAACTTCCTGACAGTGAGAACAATTAACCAGCGGAACAACCTGCCTCCAGAAGTTGCTCCATCACAGGAGGTTTTCAAGAAGAGACTGGACAGCCCTTTGTCTAAAATGGCATAGGGTCTCCTGCTTGAGCAGGAGGTTGGACTAGAAGACCTCTAAGGTCCCTGTCAACGAGAACGTTTTCTCTGATGCCATCAGCAACTCATCCCTTCCCAGCTGCAAAGCCCAGACCGAGATCCCAGACACCAATGCAGTTTGTTTTTACAGCCGAAATTAAACCCTGGTGGTGCCGTTTTGCCCTGTGCAGACACAGCATAACACAAGTCAACACAGGCCCAGGTTGGCTCTAGCTGATGTCAGCAGCCAAGGTGCTTATTTGGCTAAGCCAAGAAAAAAAAACAAAAAACAGCTGAACTCCCTTTTACCACCCCCCCACAAGAAAGCATCTCTTTATGGGTGGGGTTCTTTGTGCATCAACTTTGAAGGGGAAAAAAAAAGAAATAATATCTGTGGCGTCCAAGTTTCCCATCCATCTGGAAGCCAAATTCAAGATTTAGCTAACCAGCCAACGCACGTTTCCAAGGTAATTCTTACTCCATCACGAAGCGGTGCAAAAGTGGGAAGGAACCGGCTTTGCATTCCTAAGCTTGAGAATTTAACTGCATCAAAGTCGTAAAACGCGCAAAGTTTACTGGACGGCTGTCTCGCTTAGCGACAAAAAATGTGGGCTCAATAGCGCGTTCAGGTTCTTTGCTCCCCAAAACTAAATCAGAGGTCTTGTTTCCATCGTCCCAATTGTGAAATCCTGTCCCCCACCCCCAAGTAGTGGCTGTCTACCAGGGTTGGGTGTTCGCGGGGCGCCCCCAGCACCTGTTCAGACACCCCTCACTTTTCACGCTCTGTGGCAGAGGGGAAAAAAACCCCTCCTTTCGCAATCTTTTCCCCCAGAAAACCCATAATTTTAATGATTCAGTGGCATCGTGACTGATCCTCCCAGGTTTGGGGGGGGGTGTCACTGTGGAACAACAAAGGCTGAGCATTGAGGCTGATCCCTGGGCTTAAAAATGAAGGTGGCCCAGTTCCTCCTTATTTCTACAGACTGGAAATATCATCCCAGTTCAGCGTGGGAAAGCCTCTCTAAGGATCATCTAGCCCACCTCACCAACATCCTCAATGACCACTCTGTGTATATGTGTGTGTGTGTGTGTGTGTGTGTGTGTGTTTATGGGGGGGGTGTCCCTTGCTTTTCAACACCCCCATTAAAGCTTGTTCTAAGGAATCCTTAGGAACGTGAGTGGTGTGGCTAAGACTGGGTCCCAGTTCCCTTTCCCAGTTCCCCTGTTCGGAGGGGACCTTTCTAGCCTCCAGATCTGCCCCCACCCCCACTCCTTTCTCAGAGGCGAATTTGGGCTTCCCCGGTGCCCTCCAACAGCTGCATTCATACGTGCCAAGCCAAGCTTAGGGGCCAGGTGGGAGGGGAAGGCGATTCCTCCCGCGGGGAAGCCGAGAGTGGAGAGGGGGGGCAAACCTCCCGAGCGTTTTCCCCACCCCCACCCCCCCAAAACAAGGCCAGGGTCGTGAGGACGCAGCTCCCCAGCCCTGCCACCTGCCCTGCCCTTCCCGGCCAGCCGCGCGCCTTACCTGGCTCTCCAGCATCATGGTTTTGCGCGCATCGTTTCTAAGGAGCCGGGCGAGGAGAAAGGGGGAGGGGGCGAGGGTGGGGGGCTCGATCCAGGCGGGGGGAGGGGGTTTGGAGAGCCGCTAGGAGAGGAAGGGGAGGAGGAGGAGGAGGAGAAGAAGGAAGCAGCGGCGGCGGGTGGAGGAGCGCAAGGCTGGCCAAGCAAGCGCCGCCGCCGCCAGCGCGGAGCTGTTTAGCAGCTGGCCAAGCCCATAATAATCCCGGCTTCCTACACGCCTTCTCCGGGCGGTGCTGGGGCTATCCTCGATCGGCGTCTCCATCCACCTCGCCCGCCGCCAGGGGCCTGGCAGAGGCGGCTGGTCAATTGCAGCCAGATCGGTCAATTGGAGCCGGATCAGTTGCAGCCAGATCTGTCAATTGCACCCAGAGCTGGTCAATTTCCTTCGGGGGACGAGCGCGCCCCGTGGGCGCAGCTTGCAAAAGCACCCACGGAGACGCACACAGAGACACACACACACACACACACAGAAGCGCGCGCCCCTTGCCCGGGGCGGAGAAGAGGCGGATCGCTGCGCCGGCTTTGGGGCTCAGGATCGCGCGGGGAGAGGGGGATCTGGAAGGCGGAGGAGCCGGAGAGAAGCGCCCGGGGGGTTGGGTGGGGAAAGGGGCGGCGAGCTAACGTGACTCAGCCACCGGCGAGCAGGTAAAACAGCCTGCCCCCCCCCCCTCCACCGTTTCCCAAGAGATTTGTGTGTGTGTGTGTGTGTGCGTTAAACTACACCGCCCACAACAACAAGAACCGCGCGCGCGCAAAAGCGAGTGAAAAGTAAAGACGCCTTGGCCGGGGCGTCTGAGCGTGTGCAGAGAGCCAGCCAGCCAGTCCAAGGGATTTACCGTTGAAGCTGTCTCCTTGCCTTGCAAAAAATAAAGAAAAAGACGAGACGTCCCTTTTGGGACATCCCTGAAAGACAAAAGAGTGGAAAGCCCAGCCGGCTGAGGTTGACAGGAAACCAGAAACAAGGCTGTTTCTGAGCATCTGCAGAATGTCAAAGGAAAGCGATCTAAGGTGGGTGAGCTAGGCCACCTTGCTGATTTGGACAGGCAGGTGATGTTATCGATTGATTGATGATGATGATTGATGATTTCTATAGCCAGCCAATTCTCAGCTCAGTGTCCTCAAGCACCTTACAGTTCTAAAACTATAAAACAGTCAAAGCACTTAAAAACCTTAGAAAGTCCCCCCCCCCAAAATGCATCCCCACAGCAGCCAAGTTAGTTATTATAGCGATTATATATTTACAATTATTGCTATTGTTTCATTGATTGGCAATCTATGGGGTATTGTTTGGCATTGGGGGCTGTCCTACAAGCGTACTTTGCAGGCCTGATATATTTTGTTTAAGGGAGAACTGAAAAAAGAAAGCATATATTTCAGTTCTCCTAAAATCTACGCTTTCTGTGGGGGCAGGACCGTGGTTTAGTAACGAAAGCAAAACAAGGATTTAAACATTTACATAATGAGAGAGAGGGGGGAGGAGAAAGAAAGAAGGAAAGAAAGAGAGAGAGAGAGAAAGAGAAAGAAAGAAAAGAAGGAAGGAAAGAAAGAAAGAAAAAGCAAGCAAGCAAGATCTTTAAGGAGAAAGAAATCTGAATTGGGTGCTGAGAAAAGAGGGCTGCTGAGCATATGCAGAATTTTGCTTCATTTTGCCAACAGAAGGCCGTGGGGAAAAAATTGCTGCATTGTTCAATGCCGAGACCCACAAATATACTTCCTTCTCCTCTTAATGTGGCCCCCCCCAAAAAAAACCCCTCACAAAAAAGATTGTAAAATAGGGCGCCCTTAACAAGCGCCTTGCTCAGCCACGAAAATTCTGCGGTCTGTCGTGGCCGTTAAGCCAAGGACTGCCTGCCTGCCTGGAGAAGCTGCAAGCCAGATGGGATGGAGATAGTGTGTTTTTGCCGGTCTGCCTCCGAGCCCAATTAAAGCCCTTGAATCATTTGGAGAAGAAAAAACTCTCCCTCTTGGCAGCCACTCAGGCCGCCTGCCACGCAGGCCACCCACGTTTGGAGAAGAAAAAAAAAAAGCAAACCAAAAACTCACTTGGAAGCTGTTTGACTTTGGCTGGATAAAACCCTGAGGACACACACACACACAGCCCACGTTTTCACACGAGGTGGGGGTCTCCTGCTTATCACAGGGAAAAAAGAGGGGGTTTCGTGACCCCTGGATGCTAACAAATCGCCCACTATGAAGCCTGAAAACCTAATCCAATTATCTGTCCTTAAGATGCCACAGGCAGTTTTCCAGAAAAAGGGTCCCTGATCCATTTCCAATCCAAGCAGGGCCTCTGGGGGTGGATAGGGGGTGTGGGATTTCCAATTAGCCAAATCCCCACCTCAAGACAAGAAGGATGCTCGGGTCTCCAGCTCATGACCCCCACCGTGGGACTGAACCCATGCCCCCCCCACACACACAACCCAACAGCTTTATCTCTATTCAGACCAATGCTTGCAGGAACTCATTGCAAACCTCCTGCCCTTGCTGTTTTCATTTCATTTCATTTTTTACACACATAATGTGTGTGTGTGTAAAATTTAATTTTAATTTTGGTCATCGGTGCTTTGGGCAAGAGTAAAAAAAGGACTGGTGGGGGTTGCTATGGAGACGAGAAGACTCTAATATATATGTGTGTGTCTGTGTGTGCATGCGCGCG